CTGAGAGCCCAAATGATCCCTGAATGGGCTGACCACTCCAAGTGTTGTAGAAGAAGGTACTATAACTGAACAGAAAGGCATGGGTGTTATGATGATTGTTAAATGTGGAAACATTGGATTTATGACATTGAACCAATGATGGGCAAGTTACTTTCAAAATGTAATATATTTCGTATTTATTCATATGATTTTTGGTGTTTTAAAAGGACAATACAAAATGCCCAAGTATAGCTGGTAGAGGACGATCTTTAACTATATCGTATGGGTTATAATGTTGAATGTTTCGACGCTTTGGTGGGAGATCCCTAATCTAGCAAGAACCATCTTGCTGGGCTCAGAACAAGATGCATTCTTGGGGTTTTCTTAACTCACAAATATTGCGAGAATTCAGCTTCGCAGGCAAGGTTAGGAGATCCCTGCCTTTGACCCATATTTGTATCAATAACAAGATGTATTTTTAAACTATAAATATCGGAACTGATATTTGGTCCAGTAAATAAATAATCCCAGACTGTGCACGCTGAAAAAATATCAACATGCTCAAATTAATTCAGACACATGGTGTGTTCCTATTTTCAATGATGTTGTTGTTGTTTTTCTTATTTTTTTATGAATTGATGAATACTTGATCATTGGTTGAACAAATAATAGTGATTGATGAAGTATAACTGGTAAGTGGTCTAACAAAACAGATTTATAGATAGCTAGATCAATCGATGGACAGATGGACCGACGGACGGACAGGCAGATACATTGACAGATAGATACTAGTGTGAAATGTAAATCTTGTTACTCGAGGAGACCTCCATCCATCTATCCATTTTCAACAGCGCTCATCCTGAACAGGGTCGTGGTGGGTGCTAGAGCCTCTCCCGGAGGCAGACTACAGCATGAACTGGTCACCAGAGATGATGGCCCTTGCTGAAGTGACTAATGAACTTCTCCAATATATGGACTCCGACTCCTTATCAATACTAGTTGGTGTGTCAGCCTCAGTATTTTCTTGGTTTAATTTGAAGTACTTCTCAGTAATTCACGGCAATGCAACGTCTGAGTTTTGTAATGTTACGACGTGGAATCCCACAGGGATCGGTACTTAGCCTTTTATTGTTTAGCATCTACATACTTCCGCTTGGTGACATTATACGTAAATATACCATTAGTTTTCACTGTTATGCAGATGGTACCCCATTACATTTCACATGGCACTGGAAATAAAAAACCCACGCAATTTCTTTAATCTAGAGGTGCCCATATTTGTATCAATAACAAGATGTATTTTTAAACTATAAATATCGGAACTGATATTTGGTCCAGTAAATAAATAATCCCAGACTGTGCACGCTGAAAAAATATCAACATGCTCAAATTAATTCAGACACATGGTGTGTTCCTATTTTCAATGATGTTGTTGTTGTTTTTCTTATTTTTTTTATGAATTGATGTATACTTGATCATTGGTTGAACAAATAATAGTGATTGATGAAGTATAACTGGTAAGTGGTCTAACAAAACAGATTTATAGATAGCTAGATCAATCGATGGACAGATGGACCGACGGACGGACAGGCAGATACATTGACAGATAGATACTAGTGTGAAATGTAAATCTTGTTACTCGAGGAGACCTCCATCCATCTATCCATTTTCAACAGCGCTCATCCTGAACAGGGTCGTGGTGGGTGCTAGAGCCTCTCCCGGAGGCAGACTACAGCATGAACTGGTCACCAGAGATGATGGCCCTTGCTGAAGTGACTAATGAACTTCTCCAATATATGGACTCCGACTCCTTATCAATACTAGTTGGTGTGTCAGCCTCAGTATTTTCTTGGTTTAATTTGAAGTACTTCTCAGTAATTCACGGCAATGCAACGTCTGAGTTTTGTAATGTTACGACGTGGAATCCCACAGGGATCGGTACTTAGCCTTTTATTGTTTAGCATCTACATACTTCCGCTTGGTGACATTATACGTAAATATACCATTAGTTTTCACTGTTATGCAGATGGTACCCCATTACATTTCACATGGCACTGGAAATAAAAAACCCACGCAATTTCTTTAATCTAGAGGTGTGCCTCGCTGAGATTAAACAATGCGTGTCTTTCAATTTTTTGCTTCGTAACTGAGCTGTTGATCAATTGGCCTTGCTCATCATCAGCACCCATTTAAGGACACCACTCTGAGATATGATAAATGTTCTTTAGCCCTTTCCACTCAGCAATATCACTAAAATCCGTTCAGTTCTATCTGTTGGTGACACAGAAATTATAATCCATGCATTTGTTACGTCTCATCTTGATTATTGTTATGTATTGCACTCTGGTATTCCCCTGTCTAGTATTAAAAGTCTGCAGTCTGTACAAAATGCTGCAGCTAGACTCCTGACAAGGATGAGAAAGTTTGTTCACATTACCTCGATACTCACCAACTTGGCTCCCGGTCAATTTGAGAGGTGTCGTGGCTTACTTTGTACCTGTAAAATATTACACGGCCCAGCACCTTCCTATCTCATTGACCTAGTGATACTGTATGTTTCGTCTAGAAGCCTTTGCTCGCTAAACGATGATCTTTTAAGTGATCCCGAGAGCCACAAAGAGGTCCGCAAGTTTTTGAGCATTTTCTATTCGGGCTCCTGTGCTGTGGAATGTTCTACCCATGGATATCAAAGCCACTACCTCAGCAGAAAAGCTTAAAACACAACAAAGGCTTACTTATACTTATATACTTTAGTTAAATTACTTGTTGGCCTGTTTGACTGACGCTTCTATTGTCTCTCCTACCCTTCTTCCATGGCTTGGGGAGGGGATGAGGTTACGATGACCAAATTGAAAGTCACTGTTTTTTTGTTTTTTGTTTAGTTTTGCAGATTGCCAAACACGAATACACCTCCACGAAAATTCCAACTCTCAAAGCGCCAGTACAAACCCTAATTGTATTATTGTTGAAAAATAGCTAAACATGAGTGTTTGTGTCAGGCTTCCGAAAGGTTTCAAACAGAATCGAACTCTACAAACGTAGACTCAGGAAAGCTGATCTAACAAAATTATCTATTTACAAAAAATAGGCGCAAGCCCAGCAAAGTATAAATAATGACACTGGACAACAAGCGAGGAATAAAGCAAAGGAAACAAAAAGCGCTTGCACAAGGCAAGGAAAAAACACGAATGAAAATAGCTTGTAGCTAAAGTACAAAAATGACCAAACTGTGTGGAGAATAAACCATGGATACACTTAAACACACCAAGAACTACTTGCTTGAATGACGAAGAACGTAAGCAAAGGCAAGAGCCAAAAAACGGAGAAAACAAATTACAGGATGAGCCAAAAACGGAACATGAGCAATAAGAGAGCATCGAGACAAAATGCACATGAACAATGACTTGAGCAAGGCGAAATTATTCGACAGCTTGACGTGGGTCCATGAAGTCCTTAAATAGTCCCAATAATTGTGATGCCAGGTGTGCAGCAGGAAAACTGGGAACACCTCTGCCACCTGCTGGACACTAACAGAACATGATCATTGCAGTTCGTAATCAAAAATGTGGCTGGCGAAATCTACCATCTGTACTGTTTGTAGGGAAAAAAAGAGACAATTAATGGTTAATTTCCTTATTTATTTTTGTCATCCATCTTTTTTCTGAACCGCTTTATCCTCACAAGGGTTGCGGCCGTGCTGGGGCCTATTCCAGTAGTCTTCGGGCAGTAGGCGGGGTTCCCCCTGAACTGGTTGCCAGCCAATCTATTTGTTTTTGACTAAACTTATACAAGGGTATTGTAACTTTACTCTCAAAGGGCTGCAACGGATTCCTAATATTTCCATTCACTTAAATGTGAACAATCACTTTTGTTCATGAACCAAGTCACTGAACAAATTAAATTTATAAATGAAGGTTTGACTGAATTTGCCATTCATCAGAAGCTAACGATGTTACAATAATGCAAATATGTGCATCCAAAAATGCAGCTCTGCTTACCTTTGGACTTTTGAATTATAGTGCCATTGCTTGAAAATGGCAGAACTTCAAGCAGCCTAGCAACTAAGTCATGGGTGGAGAAACTCAGACTGGGGGTGTTTTTATGTAAATTTGCCCAAAATTGAAAATGACTCACTCACAGACCCATTTTCCGAAATAAGCAGCTCAGCAAAGATTTACTTGGTTGTGCAGTTTCACACTTAATGCGTGGCTGGGCACTCCACACACAATACAAGCAATTAAAAAGTCAATTTTCCATAACGTTTCCCCTTTAAACGACCAAATAGGGTTCCCTTGATAATAAATGACAAGGAGCACCCCAAACTGCCCTCAAAACAAACAGAAAAAGTTGACAGTACTTTTCTGGAAATGTTTCTTTGTGTGCACAGAGTAACTCTTGATAACAAAAAAATATGTGGTGCAAAATGTAACAGAAGGCATGGACAGACTGAGCAAGCTCACACCATAGACGGCCTGCTGGCTGCTGACAAACCAACATTCTTGTCCTTCTATTCCTCACGCTCTCCTAAATGGCTAATCTTTCTTGGATCTCACCATTAATTGGTTACCAGTCTCTGCAGGGCAAGGGAAAGTGGTGCTATTTAAGGCGCCGACATGCAACAGCAACACTTTCATCTTGGCAATGACAGGCAACAATTATATTAGCAGATTTGAAAGTGAACCTCCTATCTAGGCACTAATCAAAAAGTCAGCCCATCTGCTGCGTGTATCTGTGCAGCATGTATGATAAAAGTGTGTCCGACGCTAATTAACTGCTAAGTAGACCACAATTAGACACTTTATTTTCTCCTCTGCAAGAAAAATAAGGAGAAGAGCACAATGAATGCATTTCATTGTGTAGCATGAAGCAACATCTCTCTTTCTGGCTCTCCCCTTTTTTCCCCCTCTCTCCTTGACGTACGCGCGCGCGTGCACCCGCGCATCAATACAACCTTACGTGCGTGTGCGTGATGTCTATCACGCGCGCGCGCACACACACACTTTCTCTTTCCCTTAGCTGTGCTTTTGTGTTTTGTCAGAATTAATGAGAAAAGTTCCCTTGCCCTAGGGGTAATTAGTGTCCTTGGAGTTAAATAAGCTAATACTTAGACACCTCTGGCACAAGCAATTATGTTTGTGTATTGAATAATTGATTCAAAGAGGGGGGAAGGGCTGCTAATCAGATCTGAGCATAATGAATTGATTTAATTAACAGGGGAATCCTTGGGTCGCTGCAAAGAAGCGTGCGCGGCGCATTTATTGCTCAGAGCGGAGCGGGGCGCGCACAGACGCGGGCACAGAGGCGGCGGGAGCACTTTGTCACATTTGCAATTGGATTTGTTTGAATGTAGTTGTCGTCTCGGAGCAAATGAGAGCGAGAGGGGAAGCGTATTAACATCCAGGAGAAGAGAGAGCTCAACCCAGCTCGGCGTGCGCCTCATCCGCCTTCCAGCGCGCACCGCACGGCACATTTAGTCGAGATTCACGCCGCCTATTCGCCTCTTTTATTCGCATGGAAGTGATTCGAAGCGCTTTGGGCTTATTTATTGCGCAGCTCAAGTGGGGAGACGCGCATCCGGCCACGGCAGTCAGCGTCGTAACTATCGTTCTTATTTTTAGAGAAAGGTGCTTGGTTTAAGGGTTCGCCGTCTTGCCCGCGCCGTGCACAACGACAGAAAGACGATCTCGGTGAGAAGCTCCGAGCGGAGCGAGCCGCGCAGCCTCCTGGAGCCAAGGACGGATCGGCCGGGGAAGGACTCCTCGTTCCTCAGGACGATGGTGCTGGACAAGGAAGAGGGTGAGTAACATCCCCGCCTCTTGGATGTCACATCCTGGACACTCGCGCTGGTAACCGCTGACATTTTCGGAACACATTTGGAGCTTCCCCGAACCTCGAACCACATCAAGTCCCCTTAAATTCGTACCGATTTTTAAACTACCCTTGAGGGTCGGTGCTTGTGTATAACCCCCCTCACCCCGTCTGCATCGCGAAGTTGAGGTGCACCCAAGCCGAGCTCCTCTCCCAAATGCACAAAGAGAATGGAATGTTTATTTACACTTGATGTGCAGAGCTTGAAGTCTCCCGCTAAGTGCTTTTTGCCTGGGTGAAGTTGCTAAGAGGCAGCCAGCCTCTGACAACCTCCCCGGGATGGCACATGACAGCAGAGTGCTTTTAACTTGATTGCAAATTATGGATAACGCCGCGCAGCCTTGACTCACTTTTCCCATCCAAATAGGCCCGCTTTCATTACTTATCTATTTCAATGTATTTGGGTTAATGGGCGAGGAAATCTAATTAATTTTAATTTAAATCAAACTCGCCTCTCTAATGATGTTCCATTTTGGATTCAAGCTGACGTGAAGACGTGCAGTGCATTTATCACATGCTGGTCCACAGGTCTAAATGATGCTCAGTGTACTGTGAATGCATTAAATCCATTAATGTGTTATGCTTTTAATATTCAAGCAGATCCCATATATGTCCATGGGGGAGAGCACTTTGAGGTCTGAGACCAAGTTTTCTTTCTTGTGACACTTTTAAAGACTCTCTCGCTAAGCTTCTTTTGCTGACCACCTGCTGAGATGTACCAAAAATATACAACAATTTGTGTTAGAAGGCTTCTGCTCCTTTCAGGGCTCTTCATCGGCAAGTAATGGATGCATTTTGAGCCCATTATTTATGTTTGAAAATTGATATTTCCCATCTCTTAGTCGCCCATCTTTTCACTTAGACATCACAAAAACATTAGGTTTTTGAGGCAAAGACATATATTGGCCTCCCTGGCGACATCCATGTCGTGCCGCTAATGTACCCAAATTAACTGAACTGTAAATAGTCTGCTTTGAATGTCTCTTCCTTATATGATTCATGATCCGGATTGCTTTTAACAGTTATTGGCTAAGCAATATGGTAAATGTACAAGGTGATGCAAATGGCATTAGTGGGAAAGGATGCACAAGAGCATGTAATGCAGTCAATACTACATTAACTACTGATGCCCAATTACAGAACCAGGGAGAGTGGCTTTTAGGAGCATTAGGACTTGCAGAAAAGCTGAGATCACCTGCTGCTCATTGCCTAAAAGCTTCACCCTTTATTTGCTGGACCCGGCCAGCGCCTCCAGCATTTCGGCCCGCTTGGCAACAGAGCTGCTCCGATCTGGTCTCGCTCATTACAGTGCCTCTTAACGTTTATTGGCTGTAAAGTTATAGCCTTGTCAGTTCAACCTTCTCACATGTAATGCATCCGCTCAGCACTTGCTCGAGGAAGGGGGCAGTTTTGGGTGGCCACATAATGACAGCCTGTAATGATGTCTTAATTAGAAGTGTGCTTTTCTGCATGAAGCGTCATATTCTTCATACGGAGCATTAAGAGGTGCGGCGTACTTTGAATTCGATGAAGGTCACTGCCTATGTTTGTCAACGTTCTGCGGTGGTTCGAATATGTCACCCTGGAACCCTTTCTCCACCGTCACTAACTTTTATCAAAGTTAAGAACAACAAGGAAAATGTATTGCTCAAAAGTAGCCGTTTATATCACCATTTTTAAACTTAACGAAACATTCTTGCAAATTCACACAGTGCCTTCCGAAAGCGCCTTATGTCGGAAACTCCGGATGAACATGACAACCGTGTTGACAAAATTGAAAAACATGAAAACACCACAAAATGTGGCCAGTGTTGTTTTACCTCATCTCTTGGCATCGATCTCTTCTTTTTTAGCGCTTGCTCGCGATACCCGTCTTGTGCACACACTTTCCAAACTCACTTTGAAGCAATGAGTGTATTCTGAGTGTTGATCCACTCATCAGTTCAGCCTGTAAAGGTGCAGACGAGGGTGGCGGATTCGCAAGTTTGGAACGTGACTGAAAACCACCCTGTGATCGGCACAGGCACTGAGTCACGATGAGCAAGGCATCAAACTTCTTTGTAAAAATCTTACTGTTTATCTCATCGAAACTGCCAAATGTGCGCACGCGGCCAAATATTCAGCCGTTCTGTCACCGCGGCCCACCAGTTGTACACTGACCTTAAGCAGAAGCCAAATCCTCCAGCGACTGATAAGTTTCTGGTTCCCTCGCGCTGGTTAATTTACGGCTCCCTTATCACACTGTCCTGGAAAATGTGTACACTCATAAAGCGTGTGATTGAAAAGCAATCCTTCAGATGAACACAGACTGGTGATCTGTCAGCTGCTGTAATAAACCTTGGGCTCCAGGCTCACATTTTTATTTTGAAATAATAAGAATTGCTTCATTCTTTACCGGTGTTACCATGGTAATACTGTCTTGTAGCGATGTTATATTGATTCAGAAAGTGGACAGTAATATTTCTTTTCTGTTATTTGGTTTCTCAGGGTTGATTTCTAATTTCCAGTTGGAGATTACTTTTATATGTTGCTTAAGTCTTTTCACTTTTCCACAGGAATGTAATTTGCTCGCTGGTGTTTGCTATTTTCTCAGCTTATTGGTTTGCGCTTACTTCAAAATTAAACTTGCCCATTTCAAATATTGAAATTACAGTACATCAGGTTTGTGAGCTCTAGGGCCTGAACAATATTAGAAACCCACAAGTCACAGGGATTGTTTTTTTTGTTTCTTACATTCTGGGTTAACTCTTTAGTATTCCGTTTAAAATTATTCATGAAGAGCAAGTTTCTCATTTATTTAATCATACGGGGATTGATCTACAACCATGTCATGATACCCTTTTCTCTTCTGCCATTGCAAGTGAGTTGTGCTCTCAGCGTTTTGACTGCCACTCATATCCTAAAGCTGTTGTCAAGAAATCACACGTGCACCCTTTTGTGAGCAGTATGTGTTTAATTCCGCTGAATTATCATTGGAGGTAATTTCCTCTGTCACCATTAAACCTCTTGATCCCCATCATTGGTGATTGTTTCGGGTTTTCAAGTGTGCGAGATGTGTATCATTCATTTCCCACAATCTTGGAAGAATTTAAAGAGACTCAATTGAGACACGTGTTAGCGAGTGAGCCCGCCCGCTCACTCGCCTCAGATGCAAACGGCTGCACTCATCAGCAAGATGCAAAAACTCAATTATGCACTCTTGAGCTGTGAGAGCATCCAGTTTATTATTGCCTCAGGCTGGATGTTAGGCTTGCTGTCGTCTGTGTGTGGCGAGGGACACATGATCTCAGGGAGGCCTACGGCAGCCGTTGTCCAACCTTCTGTTTTGTCCAACCATTCCAATTAATGTTGTCACTGTCCACGGTTTTTATTACACTGGCACTTTGAGAGTCGTGACAGTTTCAACAGGACGATTCGGAGGTCTGATGATCACAAGAATAAATCAGTCCACTCAGTATAGTGGACTACAGAATACTAGCAGGTGGGGGCATGTTTCCTTTCTTCCAGTATGTATTGTCCGCAGCTTGAATGATGCCCCCTAACCACCAACCCGATATCTTTCACTTCCCTGTGTTGCTACCCTCCCCCTTCCTAGAAATACCAGAATCTGCCACTTATTGTACAAAGAGAAACAATACAATACACCAGGGGGTGCCCAACCAGTCGATCGTGGTTGACCGGTAGTCCGAGGACTGGTTCCAATTCGATCGCGAGGGGTGTAGAGAAAAATGCACACTAAACCCAAACATCCTATCAATTTAACTTTCACAATCAGGAGAATAAAAAATAAATAAATCAAAAAGTAGGTCACCTTTAACCTACGGCGGCTCATGACCTGTATCACAGGTGGATGTTAGCGGTCAGCAATCTGCAATTGCAGCTCACGATCAGAGCCGGTTGAGGTGATTTATTTATTTATTTTTTCTCTCATTCAAAGTTTGTTTGATCTGTAATTCACCAATGGCATTGTCAAAGCATGGGAATCTGGAGTGCCAGTAGAAGTATTTTAAAATGGTACACGCAAGCTATGATCGTGATGTTTCTGGACTGAACACACCACAAACATGCATCACTGCCTTTATGTGTGAGGTCTCCTACAAAGGTGGGCAGTGATTTCCTTTCCACAAACTCTTGTACCTACTTTATTTTTCTGTTTTGTTCACGTTAGCGTCCTTTATGGCTGTTGCTCATCATGGCACGCGTGTATACACGCGCACCTCTGTGTATGCATTCACATGCGGTAACGGGTCGATCGCAGGAGGTCGGCTGCTTGACAAATAGATCTTTGGTCAAAAAAGGTTGGGCACCCCTGCAATACAGTATGTGGGCGAGTAATAAAACTCTCTGGAAGTGCAAGTTACAGTCAAGAATATTCATGGCAGTCGTGCTGGTGGCAATAATGTACGTCGGAGAGTGGTTGACAACTGCCAAACAGCCGAATGTGAGTGGTGCCTTGAGATACAATCATTCCGCTGATTTTATTTTTCTCCTTTGATTTGCGACCATAAACCTAAAATTAGGCTGTACAAACAAATTCTTTACATTGTATATTACTACACAGTTTTTATGGAGAGGAAAAAAAACTGGAACCGATTAACGGCATTACCACTCATTAACATTCATTTCAACCGGAAAAATAATGAGAGATACGTGCGATTTTATTTTAAGGCAGTACTGTAATGGTTTCTTTCTTGGCTTGGCCATTCGCCTCCTCCAAAATGTTGAGTTGTGTATACGTAATGTCAGACAGAAACAAACATCATATTCCCTTGGTGGAGGTGTCTGATATACGGGGAGATGACTCATTACTTTTAAAGCACAATTAAAGCACGTTGTAGGTGCCAGATTTATTACAGCATGAGCTGCAACAAACACAGACACGCTCAGGAGGAATGTCGATGTTGCGCAAGCAGAAAATCCCCCACGAA